GCGCCTCCCTCCACCTCTTTCCCTCCCTCTCCCTCTGCCTCCCTCCTCCCTCAGCCCCGCGGCCCGTTACCCGCGGCCGCCGCACTCACCAGCGGCTGCACCTGAGCCCGCCGCCGCGTCAGCTGCTGCCTGCGCCTCCGCAGCCGCCGCCTCGTAGCTGAGGCCAAGTCCCGGGGGAGCCTCCGCGTCCCGCCGCCGCCGCCGCTAGAGCAGAACACCCCAAAATGGCGGCACTTCCGGCGCCTACCACCGGCGGGGTGGGCGGGGTGAGGGGGGCGGCGAGGGGCGGTACCACCGAGCGCAGGCGAGCGCTGCGCGGCGCGGCCTGGGCAGGGCTGGGCGGGGCGAGCGCCCGCGCGGCAGCGCCCCCTGGAGTGCAGAACCGTGGAGACTCCGCCGTGCGGAATCCTCGGCCCACGGGCGGAGCCCTCGGCCTGGGAGCTGCCGGGGTGCCTCTCTTTGTCTTCAAGCCGTGCTGGAGGCAAGACCCTGGGAATCTGGAGGTCTCCGCCCGGTGCACCGCACCCCGTGGGAGCTCTGGGTGAGCCGGCTGGGCGGGCAGCCCCGCTTGGCGCTGAATGTGCACATAATAAAGTATTGGGGGCAAGAGTGCACGGTGCTCGGACTCCCTTGGGCACGGGGCGCACCCTCATTTTTGCACCACTAGACAAGCAGCAGCGTCCGGGCCCGGCCTTCCTTCTGTGCAGCCGTGCGGAATGGGGCGTGTCGCAAGCTTTCAGGGTTAGGGCAGTGCCCCTGTCTAGCAAGATGATCGGCAGGGTGCGCACGCTCCTGGCAAAGTTCCTGCCTGTGACATCCGGCGGCGCAGAAGGGTTCCATTACTCGGCTCTCCAGCCCTAACCTACTGTAATCTGCTTCCCCAACACACGCACGATCCGGACTGGTGTGCAAAGGCCTCCTCCAGAGTCACTCACGGATCCCTGGGTCGAGATGAATACAAACAACACAACCTACTGATCGCTGTTGATCTAGGTCTTAGGAGACAGTGAAATGCAAATTGAGAAAACTACTTCCTGGGAGTTTGGGCCCCATCAGTTCACAAATAACTCATGGGTTTGCAAACGACTTCTCTGTAACATCATCTGGCTTCCCAGAGCTCATAATTTTTATACCCGCAAGTACTGATTACACCCTGCTTACTACACACACAAAAACAAGCGGACCCCCAAGCGGAAGACTCAAGGGTTTTCCCTTTGGCGGCGGGGCCTAACCGCAGCTTTTCTGATTTCATACACGGTGAACAATTAGCCCTGAAGTTGTACGTGATCATATCTCTTAACTGTACTGTGCAGTTTTACAGATGTTCATAATGCTGATAGATGATCTTGTTCTTGCTAATTTACTGAAAACACTTTCTATTTATAGACCATTAAAGCTTGGAGAACTTGCTCCTAAACAGTACAATTAATTTTATATTTATCTCTCCCAGCTGCCATAGATCACAGAAACGTTTCAGGCAGAGAATCTGTCTCTTGTGCCCCGTAGAATCGTGTGGCTCCCTTCCTTCAGGTCTCAATTTAAATGCAGCCCCTTTAGTTCAACTCTCCCTCCCTTCCTCCCCGCCCCCTCACTCTCACACGCGTGCACACAGCCTGTGTGGGTGAGAGAGAAGGTATAGATCAGATAAGAGTTTCTACAGCCAGGTGTGGTAGCACACGCCTGTAATCCCAGCACTCAGGAAACTGAGGCAGGAGGATAGCTATGAATTTGAGGCCAGCCTGGGCTACATAATGAGTTCAAGGGCAACTTGAACTGCACAGTGAGACCCTGTCTCAAAAAGACAACAAAAAAGTAATCATAATCATTTTTTAAGTTTCATCAAATAAAACAAAAAAATTTTTTTAAACTTTCATCCAGCCAGGTGTGGTTACACACACCTATAATCCTAGCACTAGGAGGCTGAGGCAGGAGGACGGTTGCAAGTTCGAGACCAGAGACCAGCCTGGGCTACAAAGTGAGCCCAAGGCCGGCCTGAACTGTATAAGGAGACCCTGTCTCAAAAAGGCTAAATAAATAAATAAGTTTCATGTGGTTTTTTTGTTTTTTGTTTTTTTAGTTTCATCTGTTTTATGTACCGCTATACCCTTAGGGCTCCAGTACTGCCTAACCCATAGTAGGTGCTCAGTAAATACTGAACTGATTCATAAGCCTCTCTAGAAAGTGAGTGAGACAGGGACGGTGAGTGGCTTAGCCTGTAGGAGCGTCCTGGAACAGGCCCATGAACTGCATAAGCGCAGGGGCCACACCTGCCTGTTATCGTCTTCCGTCTCCAGTGCTTTCCGGTGTCTGGCTCAGCAGATATTTCTCGACAAGCAGCCACATACTTTGCCCTCTTTTATCGGCCGCACCATCAAGGGCTCTCTCTTGCAGCAGAGGGTCTGCTGGCGGGAGACCAACGTCACTCTTACATGGAGTAAGCGCAGAAGGAGCGGCCTTCCAGCCCAGAGCTGGGGAGAACAATTACACAAAGAACGCCCATGAGTGCTGTAACCTCAAAGGGTTTCAGCAGCGTAGAAAAAATACTATACAGGCAAATGTGAGAAGGCCTAATGTGGAACCTAAGAGAGCACATTACGTTTTCGTTTGGGGTTTTTTGTTTTTTGGGTT